ACCCTTCTGTTCAGCAACTGAAAAGAAATGGTCTGTCACTGTTCTGTGTTTTGTATCTAGAATTATTCTTATACTTCCCTTAGCTATTATATACAAGATTTTTCCAGTCCAACAATTGTTTCTTTGACCACTTACTTCCTAATATAGGGTTTTACTGAAAAAGAGATTTTATCACATTTTAAAAAAACCCATCACTGTCACTTCCCCAAACAAAACCGCCCTGTTCAGTAATATGGAGCAGTACCTAACCTATCTTATCTACCCTTCCTATATAAAGAAATTGCGAAGATTAGTAGTCTAGAACATGAGGGCTGTTTAACCGGAATGACTTCTGTGATGCTAATACCACAATTAGGTGCAAAAAAACTTCTGAAAATGGGCTACAAGTGAGAATAAGAGAAAAAAAGGATAAAGAAAGTAGAAAGATACTGAAGAAAAAAATGTATAAAAGAGAGAACAAAATCGAAGGGGGAAGAGAGGAACATAGCGTGGTCTCTGCCGAGACCAAGCAGTACACTTAAAAACCACAGTTACAGTACAGCTCATCTTTGATAAACAGTGCTGAAAAAAAAAAAGGGCTGATGTCTCTATCTGATAACTGTCAGTTTCAAACAAAGCACAACTAACCAGTTAAAATGTTTGCTATTGTATTTTTCTTCTTTTTGTAGTGCTATAAATTCTTATTTTCTGAATTTTTCCCACACCTCTGCATTTCCTCGTGTCAATTTGCATTCCCAGATCTCACACTTCCTCTGACTTCACTGTTTTCTCCAGTGATTCTTCCAACCTATCCTTCAAATGCTCCCACACAGGTTCTCTTGATACTTTCTAGATTGCACACATGAGATGTTCTCACTTTTAATTGCAGAGACCCTGTAAGGGGAAGATGACAGCTCCACCGTAATACAGGGAGGCAGGATGTACACACACAGAGACATGACTCTTCTTAAGCTGAAGCAATCGAACAGACAAGTTCAGCGTAGTTCCTGAGCACATCAGTTTCCAGAGTAACTCGATGTGTGCTGCCCAGATTCATCAGGTGGTAAGTGCCGTTGCCTGGGCTGAACAAAGCAGCCACACAAAGAACAGTTTGCACAGTTGCGTACGACACAACTCTAATGTTAGAGCTTGTGCCTGAAGACGGAGAGTTAAAGATAAAAGAAAGCAAGGTGTGCATACAGACAACTGGCCTCAAACACTTCCACCTTTGCACAAAAATCTCCTTCTCCATTATCTTTCAAGAGTGGTATAAAGAAAAAACAAGTATAAGGAAACCAGGATATTATCTGCTTAATGCACGACTTATAAAGTTAAATAACATTGGTATTCATGCAGTGATGAGCACCAGGAACTTTCTGTGATCTCTGTATCTTGTTATTACAAAATAAATTGCTTAATTTCAATCACTTTCAAATAGCAAATGCCTACATCCAAGGACAGAAAGAGCCATCGGAAATACTCCTGTTAGTAATGCAGAGTTCTCAAAAAAAGTATCATTTCCTCTCTCAAGGAAAACCTAATTCAAGCTTTGTTCAACTGGCCTTTCCACTGCAGTATATTAATTAAGACAAGTTCATCTGAGTGTCACTTAGTGTCCAAGAGCAAAGAAGGAAGTAGTGGTAGTAGAAACAATAGCCTTTATCAGAACATATTTTTAGGGTCTCACAAACACGCAAGACATCTTAGAAATATTTCCTGTTTACACAGAGCTGTACTATCTATGTGCGATGATACACTGCACATCCTGAGGTTAGCTAGGAATCAGAGATGTATGGAAGTTAAATAAGGCTATACTGGACAACATTCCTTGGTACACATATTTCGTATTTGAAAATAAATTCTCTAACAGCAGGGAATTATGAAAAGTTACCCTTAGATGGAAATGATTTGATAGCAAATTTACATTAAAACATCCAAAATTTAAAATATAGAGTATATTGTAGCAGATCTTTCACAAAGACAAAAAAGACATCTCAAATCACACAGTGAAAAATTGAATTTAGAAGAACTTCTCCTTAAAAGTTAAGACAGCTATTTAAGTGGCTTGAACATTTTTACAAGGAAAACATAAAAACCTCCTCAATGGGGGAAGTAGGATGGAAAATCCATAACAGAAGTCCATTTAATACTGGACTAATTTAAACAGAAAATTAGATGAACCTACTTTGTCCAGAAGAAAAGTACTGTTTATCCTTGTCTTTCTTTTGCAGTCCAAAGCCCTACCCCATATGTTATTACTGACATATTTCCACTCTACAGTACCATTGTATCCACACACCAAACATGACCAAAGTTTCTTGGACAAAGGTTACAATGCGTGAACTAATCCTCCCCACCCGAACCAACGTGTTCATTCTCAAATTAACAGAGGCCATGTAGAACACTTCACTGCCAGGATTTATTTTAGTAGTACATGAAAAGAAAACACACGAGTATAAAAACATTTCCAGTGATTATAACATCAAATTAAAGGTGTTTTAAGAAAGATAAATTTCATCAGAAATTGCATCATTACAGGTCATGGAATAGTTCAAAAGCTACCATAGGTAACAGTAGTGAAGGAAAGTGCTACTGTGTGCATAATACTCGAGAAAGAAGTACCCAGTTCTGTGCAGCAGCCTCCTAACACACAAGCAGATTCAATCACAGCTGCTGTGGGCATTTTCAGTGAAGTCCTGTGGTTCAAAGGATTAGTTTACAAAACGCAGCTTCTCTGTCCAGTGATTGAGAGGGTTATCAGCTCTCATACAACATTAAGGATCTTGAATTTCTTGCCCACGTAATGCGGCTGCATGGCTCCCCCTCTGAGCTGCTCACCAACAGCAGATGCACCCTGATTAGAAGAAACTGGATCTTGGTCCACAATAAATTGCCAGCTGTGGTCTCGAATTCAAAGACCGCTGTTCTTTGAGCTCCCCACAGAATCTCCTTGCATGGAGTAAAGTAATAAAGTTACACAAGTAACATCTGAAACCGAGTACAACTCAAGAACTGCAAGCTCTTTGCTATTAGGTAGGGATTTGTCCGATGCCCTAATTGCCATGAAAAGTCACACATCTGAAAGATCGAGTGCAAAACAAATTCTTGTAAAACTGGTACAAATGTGAAAACTGTTTTTAATATTGTTCCAAAGTGTAACAGGAATGTACAAACTGTAAACCTCAAGGCAGTTTTAATCCATGCAATGAACACGGTATCCTCTGAACCTGCCCTCACTACTTGTGACTGGAAATGGTTCCCAACACCAAGCATTAAGCTGAGATACAACTACCTAAAATTTACAGAGACTAGGTGTCCTTAAACCTCACACTGCAACCATCTAACCAGTTAACCTATGTTATAGTTTCCAGAGTATACAAAGATGCCCAGACCCCAGAAGATCTTAAACAGTGAATGACATAAGCAAGTAACTGCAAAACAAATGTCATATCAAGGTGTTAACCTTCTGTCTCAAAAGAATCCTGAAAAAACTAAGGCTTTGAGAGCAAAAAGGAATCTCTTCAGTTCTGAAGCAATATTCCAGCATAAACACACCGACATCCTTTGCTTTGCTCTTCCACTTGAACCACGTTTTCTCTTTTCCATCCATAACCAATATGAGAGTGATCAGTAACTAACTCCACTTACCATACACAGTAGGGAGCTCGAAGCTGTGTGTCTAGAACATGGGAAACTCACAAGTGCTCCTTCCTGGCACTGCAGTCTGAGATTCTGTGGAATGTTGGTGCCTCTTCCAATCCTTTCCAAAGATCTCTATTTCCTCATCAAGAAATAAAACCATTTCTGAAGCTAGCTACCTTTCAGGTTTTTAAAGGTATATGATGTTTCTTATTCTATCTCCACCCTCAAGTGCATAGGATATACTAAGGTCTAAGCACCTCTAGAAAAATGGAAATTTTGCAAACCGATTGCTATAAATCAAAGAGATTCACAATTTTCATAACACAGATCATGCCATAAGAAAGAATCTGTTCCACTGAAATTCCCCATTTATAATTCAAATAATCTCTGTAGAAAGTGTAGCAATTATGTAGCAGGATGGTATTGGAGAAGTACTTGAATTTGGCTTTAGCCAAATTTTTAAAAAATCAGTATGGCAACAGAAAACGATTGGGGCTAGCACCATGATCATTAGGTCTTTGCCAACAACTGTCTCATGAGCTATGGTCTGCTCACTTATGCTAAAGAATTTCTCAACTTAAGCAATTTCTTTCAGAAATTGCGGGATCCTGGTTAACTCTGAGCCAGGGACTAGTACAAAAGTGGTTTTATTTTACTTTTTTTTACATCAGAGGGAGAAATTATTGCTAAATTGTTTGATAAAAGAAGAATTAGAAAAAAAACAGGAAAAGTGCATTTTGATAAATGTATCTCAATTTGGAAAAAATTAGTAATGGAAAATCCTACAAACAGGTATCAGTAAGGCATGAAGAAAAAGGATCTACTACCAAAGGAGACTCCATAGATTTTGTTTTCATGTGACTTGTTGCCACCTGTGTTTCCCAAAAGGTAATTAGCTTACATTTGAAAGTCAAATAAAATTTTAAAACCAGCTAACTAGCTGTATCTAATAAATAATTCTTTAAATAACCTCATTTAAACTCAAAATTTGGAAATCAATGATTAAGTGGTTACAGCATAGTAAATATTGTATCATAAATAAAATATCCTCTACAAAAAAGGAGCAAGCCTAAAAATCTATTACAGATCACAACTTACTTAGGTTAAATCATTGTATTACAAATGCCTATCACCTTTAAACATACAGCATTCATTAGGTGCTATTTTTATGGTTCACATCCAGTGCAAGAGTTACTCTCTCTGTAACAATAAAAATATCTGTTTCCACAATAAATTATCTCCTATGAGCTTACAAAGTTTCTGAACAATCCTACCTGTCTTACTTGCACTGTCTTACTCCATCTTCTAAGAGTAAAAGCTTATAATCACTAAGAATCATCTGACTCCTGAATCAGGACCACTAAATGCCCTTTCTGCCTTCAGAACTCATTATGCGATTCCGGATTGTCAGGTTTCTGCGTCCAGCTGTTCTCTTCCTGCGTCAGATCCTTTTCTATTAATGTTCTATTAGGCTGAATCTAGAAGAAAGACAGCAGTTAAAAAACAAGTTAACACAATCAGAAACACTGTGTTGCTCTTTACTATCAATACACCATTATATAAAGATGTCTTACATACTCACTAGAAAATCTGAAAATTAGAAGTGATGTATCTATGCAGCAATTAGGAAATTAACAAAAATCTAGTGAAAAACCACTAAACTGATATCAAAACATTGTAGAGAAAAAAGAAAGGCATATGGTGTATTGTATCCATGTACAACTGACAACCATCCTGCAGAGTCTGTGGTAGATATTAAGCTCAGAGACGAGAGAAATACTGGACTCTGCAATGTTTCTCACTAACACAGAAAGGAAAATATGAACAGCAGCACTGAGATATACCAGCCAGCCCAGGAACTTTACTGTACCCCCTAAGGTAACGGAGTTTCACAGTCTTCTAAAACCCCTTCATCCAACAACAATGCAGAACTTCTATTTCAGTCATTCTACAACACATTAGCACAGCCATGACAGAATGGAAAATTATGCACAAACAAAATGATTTTGGGAAAAAAATGCTCGAGTAGAAGAAGCAATGCTTGGTCGCTTCATCTAGTTTGTGCAAGCTAAGTCATCGTTTCAGAAATTAAACTAAGAAGCCTCTTAAATGAGTAATTTGAGTTCCAGCTGTCCTGTCTTTCCCAAATACAGGAAACACTTCTGTGCAACTCTACCGCAGAACGGAGCACAAAGAGCTCACTTACAATTCGTCAGAAACTTGGCAGCATTCAAGTTGAGTTGAGTTTTCATCTTTACAGAAACTAGGGTCCTAACATGACACAGCCTAAAGTTCCAAAAATGAAAGCTGAGCGAGAGAAACCTGTCTCATTTCACAACAACATGTTGCCACAATAGTTACTCAGAGCCTTTTAGCGTATCAGCAAATTCTTTTATGGGATGTTAGCCAGGGCATATCCTCTTTGCAATCACTTCTGCTGCCATCTCCCCCAGGATTAACACAGCTGCACAAACCTATGTTCAGATGCATATGAAAGCAAATGAAATAAAAATCACATCAACATTAATCAAAGCTTCCAAACGGATTACCTGAAAAGGCTGGCTGATCCCAACTATTGACTGCAAATTATTGCTATAATAACCAAGCAAAAATTCTCCTCCCAGATCAGGTATTTCTGCAGCACTCATGTAAACCTGTTAACAAGAATAACAGGCAATGGGCAATTTGCACAGAGAAAGAAGCTCACAGGAAAAGCAGCCTCTGCCATTCAGGACACCATAAAAATCAGTAAAATCAGCATTTACTATTTACAAGCAAGCTTTTAAATGTAAGCTAAAAAGGATGAGGACAGAAATAACTCATGAAACCATCCGAAAACTAACTCAGGGAGGAAACGTGAATATCCTTCACCACGTTAGCAAGCTGACTTGGTTCAGTAAGAAGGGAGAAGAAACCCAGAGTTGTTGTAAGGGAAGGGACAAGGCCACACAAGCAGCAAGGAGGGAGATGAACTGCCTCCTGGTGGCAGTCAGCTGTTCCATGAATTTAATCCATCTTTGCACCCACTGTGTCTCCAAAATTACATTTGAATTTCTGTTGGTTTAGATAAATACCTCTGGAAATAGATCATTCATACTCAAAATAAGTTTTGTTTGTGTTGTGGGTTTGTTTGAAATCACTTTAGGTAGTCACTACTAGAAAGCTACGTAACAGGCAGCAGTTTCACAGAGGGATCAAAACACACAGCAGCCAAAACGAAGAAAAGTCCAAGAAACCCTGATCCATAGCTGTATTAGATATCTGGAACTAATTGTGTGAGTAACATTAGGTACTTAAAACTTTAATGAAAATCACACAATAAATATTTAGTACACATTAAGCAACATTGACAATCAGATGAAAAAAATGGCCGATTACTTATTTCAGCAGCAGAAACAGACCAAAATACAAAATGGCAGTAGTATTTAATACAATGAAAAGTCACTAGAGGAATAAATTGCTTTTTAACAAATTCCCTTAAGCAATATGATCACACCTGAGAAGGTACGCTAGACTAACTGAAAATTAATACAAATTAGGAAGAGGAATTTTAAACAATAATATCACTCCCAATTAGCTTCAACTGGGAAAGAGGATACAGAACCCATAAGAAGAAGGGGATACGGAACAAACAGACCTTGAATGCTACTCTATGAGATACTCCATTAGAAAGAAATATAATTGGCTTACTTGTTTACTGTCTTTGTTAGAAGAAACTTCATCATCTTCTACCCAAGCATAAGTAACATAGTCATTCGTATGCCTGAAAGTCACCTGCAAAGAAAAGACGCAAATCATCAGCCTTCTGAAGGAAACAACACACATACTACATGGAAAATTCAAAGTTGTGAGAGACATGTTCATTACTTCACTGAAGTAATTAAAACATTCACTTCCAGGATGGAACATTCTGGGGGCATGCACAAATCCTTAGTTTCTGAGAGGGTGCAACTGTTCTGTTCTCTCACCCTTCCACTGACCTTCTATTTTTTGTTCTTTCTTTGCTGTATAAATCTTTTGAACCACAGGCATTAGGGGAGGACAATTCCTTTTCACAACTTCTGTACCATTTTACCTATATAAATCACTACATCAACTTAGCAGAGAATTTAAAGGGTGCAAAAGAGCTCCCATGCTATGCAACTAAACTGTCGGCATACAGAAACTAATAGCAATCAAAGATAGGTTACTATTTCAGAGAGTTTTGCACTAGCAACAATCACAATGTCTTATGACAGAAGACTATCAACAACCTCCTCCCATCATATTCACCATCTTTATTAAGAGTAAGGAGCCACAATGCGGTAACATTACCTTGAAGAGTCCAATCCAGTCCCAAGCACTGCTCGGGAATTCAGGAACTGCAGAATAGCTGATTAGAACATCGTGTTCCGCACTCCACTCGCCCTCAGGATTCAGTGTGACCAAAGGATCTGATAGAAGAGGCTTCAACTAGATAAAAGAACAGAATTTAAAGTAAGTCAAGTCTGTCATTCTTTTGGTTTTTCTTTTCAGATTATTTTCTGCCACACCTTAACTGAAATGGAAATAACCTGCAAGCAATTTGCTGCCTTCACTGTAACTGGAATGAAATGCAGACATTATGATTTACAAAGTTTAGAAAACCAGCTTCCGTGAGGCAAGACTTAGTAAAACAAACTTTTTTGTAACAACATAACTGGGACAGCACCTCAAGCCCAAAAGTTCCCGTAACAGGTTTGTGATCGCTGATGCCATAGCTCATGTGACTGATATAGTTATTCAAAGTAACAGAAATTGTCTGTTCTTCCTCAGAGAATTTGCCTTCTTTTGATGCATTCTGGCAAAGATTTTTCACTCTCCAAAGTATTCTATCAGTCCATGCTGGCTTTCTTTTCTTCTCACTGCAAAAGTGTAAGATAAAAGTGAAATGAGAAGAAAAACAGTTGACAGAAGCTAAGAATACTGTGCAAAATCTACTCAAAGCTGAAAGACTGTCCGCTACATATTAATAAAAGAAGGCAATCACACCCATGCTTCATTTTACAGCTCTGTTCAATATGCTTTACAACCAAGGTTTCCTTAATTTGAACTCTGCTCCATTCGCCACAGGTAAGTTTCATAGATTTCTGAGAGGAGTAAAATGAAGGGGAGAATGGCATTTCAATGGGTTAGTCAGCTTCATATGGGGAATGATACTTTCTCCTAAAACACTCCATAAAAACATGCAAGAACATTGAGATAATACAGCAACTGCCCCAAGCTTCAAACATACAGTTATTCTGAGAAAAGGGGCATGAAGTTAAGGAAGACATAGGAAGAGTCTGAATGATGTTTGAAATTATTCAGAACATTTGAGAACAAGTTTCTTTTAACAACTAAAAATGGACAAACTTAGGTAGCTTATACCAATCACAGGTGGCACAGCAATGCTTTATTTAAAGTTCCTCTAACTTGTACTAGCCTGTATTTCAAGTCAGTAAGCTATTGCTGTCTCACAACAAAAGGCTTTAAAAATTCCTTAATGGAGAAAGTTGTGTCTGCAGTCTGCAACTGTGCAACACATCAAACTGTAGTCAGAATTCAGAGTTTCCTTTTATACCATATCAATAACAACAGAAGACAAGAGCCCTTCGTGGTTCTCTCTGTAGTGGAAGATTTAACAGCAACTCTCTGTATGGATGTATCACTTCAAATTGAAATGGAGAAAAGATCATACCCTATGGAAGAGGAATTAGAAGGGACTGGATTGAATTATAAAAGTTAATGAGCGGGATGTGTAAGGAAAACTGTCAGTTTAATAACTTGGAATATCAAAATCATCGTAAACTGGAAATGTCATTTAGTTCAGTATACAACATACTTTTGTTTTACCCCTTCCCATATACAAGTCTGACTCACCTTTAAGATTGGAAAGATTTTAAATGACTAAGGGCCCATACCCCACTTACTCCAGTAATTACATAAACCGACAGAAATCTTTATGAGCTGCCATATGTCTGCTCTGCTGTGCAAGAAAATACCAAAAGAACAGCTTAAGTTAATTCAAGATTTTACATAAAGTGGCATATTAGATGGGAAACAAAACCTCAAAATCCACATTGAAAAAGTATCAAAGATAACAAAATACTGTGTCCTTCATACAAAGCACACTTTCAAGGGTGCTTACCTTGAGGTCTACTGATTACCCCCCGATACAAACAAAATACCTCTGCTAGCTCTTACAGCAGCAGAATGCACGCAGTATGCATAACCATACTTTTTGTTCTTCAGATGAGCCCAAACAGACTACTAGGCTATGAATCATTCTTAGAATGTCTAGGTTTGGATTACTGTAAGTATTTTTTTTTAACTGGATTTACTGCTGGTCCCATTTTATCTCTTCACACTCAATTAGGGAGCCAAATGTCTTTGGATCCAAATAAGTAAACTTCCAATATTAAGTGCAACAGCAGAGGAGATAACACTACAGCTTTCAGACAGGTTCAGAAAATCCCTGAGGAAAATCAGCTGTCATCTGATTTTCAAATATTTCACAAAAATCAAATCAAAAGCTCGGGAAGGAGCATTGTTTTGATTCTGAAATATTTACAAATCTATGAAATCCAGAAAGTTCTCTTCTTACTTAAACCAAAACAGGGACTTCTGCTCTCTGAAAGTAAAGAAAAAGATCAGTACAAAACCTCTGTTTGGACAGGAACTTATCTTTCTGTTGAAACATAAAACTAATACTTAACAACAAACTTTAGTGTCAGAGAAAAACTTTGGAAACTCAAGCTACTCCATTTTCAACTTACAATAATTTGTTAAGATACATTTACATTTATTTTCTAATACCAGCAGTATCAAATGGAATGCTTAAAAAGAGAAGGAAAACAAAAAAATATTTTTTTCCTTTTGCTCATTTCTGAGAACCAATGAGCACTTTCAGTATTAAAGAACAAAAAAGAAGTGGCTTAAACAAGTGCTGGTTTATTCTGCTACTTTAGTCTTTCCAAAAACAAACATGGGTTGTTTCACTACTTTCCTCATGCAATCAGCAGAGACAAGCTTCTTCAGCCAGAAATATTTAATTATTCAGATTTGACCACGAAATGAGCCTAAGAGAATAGTGCAACAGCCCCAGTTATCCAGTACATTCAGGAAATTCAGGTTTGTGTAAAAAAGTGTTATTTAATCAAGCACCACATTCACTCTAATCTTCCATGTCTAAACTCATCTTACTATGCTTTTACCTTGTATCATACACATCCGAATAAAGGTCAAACTTGTAGGTGGGTTTAAACTGCAGAGGACCCTCTATGAAGTCCTGAAGAAATGCTTCCTTCTTTTTTGCCATATTTAACTGCAGAAATAAAAAGTGACTTTTAAAGATTATGTTTAAAAATCAGAGCTTAAAGGGCAACTGGGAAAGGAGCTAAGAAAGTATCTTCCAAGAATTCGACAACTCAGTCAGTACAACATATTTGGAAAAGTAAGTTCAGAAGGTGAGGAACCATTCACATGAAGTTCAAAGAAAGCTTCAGTCAAACACAAGCATTGCAAATGAGTAAGAAACTAAACAAAAGCTGAAAAAACCTGCAATTAATTTGGGCTTACGACTGAGAAGCGAGAGAGCAAACATCTAGATCTGTTCTACTTCGGGACTACTCTCAGTTTGTGTTCTTTAATATAAATTAGAAACTCAAGAGGTAATGTTAACTACCATGTTGTGTTTGTATCCATTAAAAATAAAACATACAAAACCCTCAAACAGATTCAGAAAACATACCTGGTCCTTTTCCCACAGCAGATTGTAACGTTTGTTATTTATTGATTCTCGGACAAAATGTATGCCATAATCTGCTATCCGGAAGTTTAGATCTCCAAACCAGAAGAGAACAC